CATTGTCTGGGTAACCCCAAGCACATCACTGAACCTTTTTCACTTTCTATTTCATCATCTTTAAAATGGCAATAATAACCATCCTTTCTTCAAAGTTCTCTTTTGAGGGTCAAATAAGATTATATATTTATCTTGTATATTCTGTTTGTTTTTATATGTATTTGTTTGCATGTATTAGATCATATTATTAGATTATATTGGATTATAAGCTCCTTGAGGACAGGGATTGTCTTTTGCCTCTTTTTTTTAAATTTTTTAATTAATCCCCATCACTTAGCACAGTGCCTGGTACATAATATTTAATGTTTATTGATTGACTCTTCATGCAAATCTCTTTGCAAAATTTAAAGTGCTATATAAATGTCAGATAATAATAATCATAATAATCTCAGTGTCCTCAGACAACTCTTGAAGTTTCTAAGTTACAGATGAGTTGTCCATCTTCATGGACGGAGAGTTTCCATATTTACAGGTCCTCACACTAATCAATTTACCTGTCTGCACCAAAAATGTAACAAACCACAACAAAATGTCTAACCTTCATCACAGAGTTGTGAGGAAAGTCTGTTAAAAGATTCCAAAGTGCTATTTTAATATGTATGAGTACTAATAGCCTTAATAATATCTAATAATACCAGGTGTCTAGCATTTTGATACTTGTGACATTATACTTACTTAAAAAAACCTCATGAGAACATTGGCTAGTTTATATTTTTGTGAACATCTTCTAAGCCAGAATTTTCTGTACAAAATGCTCCCTATCACTGGTATAGCTTCGGAAAGGGCAAAATTTCGGGAAAAATGTCAACTAGATTGTTTGGAGTCTTCTAACAAGATCAGTTTGGCTCAGCCTCTTGTTTATCCAATCTGCCCATTTTTACCAAGGACACCAAGTTCCTTGAAGAAGGCATATGCAGTTTTGGAACTCACCAATGGTCACATCAGAAGAACTGTGTGTTTCCAAAAAGCTATTCAGATGATGCCATGTTTTAGGAATCCAGTCTATGATTTTGATGAGGTCACCATTGCGCATATTTCTCTCTATTTCAGTCTCAATCAATTTCCTCCGTAGATATCTGCCCAGAAAGCCTTTTACTGGTTCTGTGTGGTTAGCACACAGTACCCACCTGCACAAAGGAATGCCCAACCTCAGAAATTATTGTATAAAATGAATATTCAGCCAAAACCCTATATATCTTCTTCCTTCAAATGCAAAGTGCTTATTTCCCTGTGTGAGATCATAATTGCAATGGCTAATAGAAATATCAGAAACTGAGTTAGATGATCAAGGTTTGGTTTCCTGAACTAAGAAAAAGTTTATATTCTTCAGAGATGAGTGGGAGAGGAGGCATGCTGTCTCACTACTGAGGGCACTTCTGCATAAAAACAAAACAAAAACAAAATTGATCAAATATTAGAGCAAAAACTTGAATTCTTCATGGGTAGAGTGAAAGCATCATCCTTTTGATTCAGGAATCATGAAGAAGGGAACATTTACAGGAAAGTAAACACTTTGGTATAAAAGCAGAAGAGGTGTGCATAATGTCTGCTTGCAGAAACATATGTGGAAGAAGTGAGAATTACTTTCACAACACAGGTTGCCACTGGAAGGATTTATCAATGTCCAAATAGAAAGGCAAAAAAAAAAAAACAAAACCTTTGTTTACCTGAAATTATGATGCAGTTCTAGATTTGGTGATGATGAAACCCCCTGGTTCATTGTTCCAATGATATAGGGACTGAGAGTAAAAGAAGAAAAGGCATGAATTTGGAGGAGCTAAGGAGGAAAAGATTAATTAAACTGAATTAGTTAATTTCTGGATTACTGGATTAATTTCTGGCTCATGATAGCACTTAAATATTAAGCTCCAAAGTTGCAAGTAATAGTAGCTTAGCAACCAGGAGATGTGGGTCCTATATGATAACTTGGATAAGTCATAGTTTTTTGGGCTTCAGTTCATCTGTAAAATGAGACATTTGGACTTCTGCATTAGGTGAAATAGATCTGCCCATGGACTTGTGTGGCCTATGAGATAAGATCAGATTTTACATTTTAAAATACAATAAAACTTCTATTTAAAAATGTAAAAACTGTTCTTAACTCTCAGGCCATATGAAAATGGGTGGTTGACCAGATTTGTACCAGGGAACTTTTATAGATTGCCAATCCCTGGACTAGATGATCACTAAGAATCTTCCCTAATGAGCTATTTTTCCACTAGTGACTTTTTCTTTGTGCTTTAATTTTTTTTCTTAAAAGGTACCAAAATAAAATTAGGTGTATAACATTTCCTGCTCAGTCTTCATTTCATCCTGCCTTATTTGGAATAGTTTAATTTATAAAAAGCAACAATTCAATTGGGCAAGGAACCAAATCATTATCAAAGGATGTTCTCATTGCTTTTGTCTTAAACAGTCATGCCACAAATAAGCCTGAGTGGTTTTCAGATTCTCTGATTCTCTTCTTACTTTAGGTCCCTGGTTACATGAAGGAAGCAGCCAACCAGGTTGGTTTAGGAGGGTTGATATGTGGAAATGCATTTTTCTTTTTCCATGTGGTCAGGTTGACCTGTGTCATTGCAACTGATCTAGAATATATGCTTTCATCATTGCTTTCAGCTCATTCCCTCCCTCCCACACACACACACACACATATACCCATACCTGCTGAGTGACTGCTGCACCTAACATTAGGGAATCTCAGACTTGGAAAGAGCCACAAAATGCCATGTGACTGATAAAGAAGCCACTCTATGACATTACTAATAAGTGATCATCTGGCTTCTTCTTGAAGACCTCCAGTGAGTGGGAACCTACTAATTCCTAAGGCAGTCCTTTGCACTATAGGACAGTCTAATTGTTAGTGCACTGAATTTTAATCTGCCTCTAACTTTTAACCAATATTCTCAGTTCTGCCCTCTGGGGCCAAACAGAACAATAGCAATTCCTCTTCAGCATGACAGAAAACCACACTCACTTCCTCCTTAAATATCCCCAAGTCTTCTTTAATATAGGCTAAACATAACCTCTCGGGCTATAAATTGGACAGAAGGATCCAATCTAAATTGCTAGCTGAGGTCTCCTCATCTACATGATCTCTCCATGGATGAAATCACAAAATCAGTCTTTAGCCCTAAACATAACTGATTGCTTCAACCAATATTCATAAGTTATAGACTGAACTATTTTGTTTCTCTTCCTTTGGATGTCTTCCAATTATGAATATTCATCCTAAAATACATTGCACAGAACTGAACACAGTGTGTCAGATATGGTATGACGAGGGCAGAGAACATCAAAACTATTACCTCCCTAGTCCTGGACATTATGCTTCTCTTAATGCAACTTCAAATTAAATTAAATTAGCTCCCTGGTAACAAGTTGAGCAGTAGAAAGCATCCTTTACATACTCTGAAATCATGATGAAATGTTACTTTTGTTTTATGAAACTTGTGACACCATGGGATCTAAAATTGATCAACTACATGGTCAGTCCTTTTAACCCTAGTTTATCATACTGTGACATTCAAAAAACATTCACATACCATTTGTTATATTTGCAGTTGAGGAAACCATTGAAGATGTCACTCAAAGAGCCAACATGGTGGAGATTATCGAGAATAATTACAACAGGTAGGTCTGAACCATTATTATCAGCACTGCATTGTTCTGCTAAGTTGGCTAGGTACTGCTGCAATTCCTTAAACAAACAAACAAAAACCAAATATAGTAACTGGAAAAAAAACCATAATTAACAACTAGTTATACCAAATGACATATATTTGTCCTGGGAACAACTCCTTATTAAACGAACAGAGGATACTGCAGAAATAGATGCACAGTAAGAAGCGGTAGGTGTGGGGGGATAAGAAATGAATAAGAGAAGTAGGAAATAGGGAGGCTATCACTAGTCTATGGTTTCAGCATTCTACCTGAGTGCTAGCTACAACAGTGGGACCAAAAGGCATATTTCTGTCACTTCTCCTCCCCAAAAAAGAGCTAAAAAAAGGATCTTGGATCTCTAAGCCCTTATCACATAATATGTATGATGAGTCTTGTTATTGGAATATACTAAGTAACTCTGCAGAAACAGAAAGCATTGAAAATTTTCATAAACAAATGTTTGGGTTAATATCTCAAAAAAAAAAATAAAGTTTCATGAAAAGGATATCCCTAAGTGAGTTCTCAGTGATTCTTGCTGTGTTTTCATGCAAACTAGTTTCACAAATATAATCCATATAAAATTTCAGCCCTGGGGCCAGGGATAACTGTATGCTAAGAATCTTCCCCTTCACTTTCTTCTGTTTTATTAAAGTAGGGTTCAATGGAAATTCTGTAATTCTGAAGAGAGACTAATTTTTTTTAAAAAATAGGACATTTACAATTATCATTTCTCATTACTTAAGATGGTTGGTATTTTGTAAAGGTATGATCCCTAAGTAGCTTATAATCTAAATATGATAAACACTTTTGTTGATTGACTGCTCTCACAGATGGGTAGGCCAGGGAACATAATTAGGTTACTAAGAGTCACCCTAATCAGTAAAAGCATTTACATATCATTTGCATATTTACAATGACATTTTCAATTTGCAAATCATGCTGAAGATTGGAGGGGGGAGGGAGTTCGATGATCCTAATTTTCAACAGCCATGTGAACATATAGCCCATTCAGCTATTTCTATCTGAAGTGCTCTATCAGAAACAAAAGCCTCAGGGGAATAAACTAATGGTAACTAGAATATTCCTTTCACAGGCAGTGCTCATAGGGGATTTCAAATTCTTTCATCCAGATTTAAGATAGCTAACATTCTAAATAATATGATGTGTGCTATGTTGAGCCAATGGCATATTAATGGTTCTAAAAGAAAGGAATATTATTACCCTGGGTTTGGGGTTAAAAAGTTTTTGTAAAACTACAACAACCACAAAAACCCTTTATCTAATTTTTAGCTATCTGGAAAGCTGCATTTGACTTGAAAGAGAAAATGAAGTTTATAATTTAAAGAAAATTATAAATAGGTCAACATGTTATCTTTGCTGAGAGATGTTTAACCATTGGTATATTAAAAGAACTGGACTCCTGAACACTGGAAGGGAAAGTACTATTGGCCAAACAAAAAAATTGAAGGAAAGTAGATGTAGACTTCACCTGATAGGCTTAACCTTTCTGGCCAGACACATATTTTAACAAATGTAATAAATAGAGCAACAGTACTGGAATTAGGAAAATCTGGGTTCACATTCCACTTCTGACACCCAACAGTTACTATGGGCAAGTCATTTAAACTCTTCTGCCTTGCTAGGACTTAGCCCCTAGGCCATATGCATTTTATCTCTATTTACTTTGAGAATTCCCAGGCAAACATTTTCCAAACTGACAAACCCACAGTTTTTCTGTGTGTTTATATATTAGAGCTATAATTACCAGTTTCTATTAGTTACTGTGTTTTGCACATTGAGAGAAACTGAGTCATTCACTGCCACTTCCAAACTGCTAATCTCCCCTTTCCACATCCTCATCTCCCAAATTGCTCTGGTTCATCTTCTGAGCATACTATATCAAATGCCACCAATTCTACTCTTTAGATGCTCTCTTTCAATCAAAATATTCCAGCTGGTGGCTTGATGGTAGGCCTAAAGAGAAGGAATGTGAAACACAGAGGTTCCCAAGGCATGAATATATACATGTGTGTGTGTGTGTGTGTGTGTGTATGTGTATATATACACATATATATGTTTTTTTCCTTTTTCTCTTCTTGGCTTTTTGTTTGAATCTTCTAAGTGAGTGAAGTGCTTTTTTCCTTTGTCTGGTGTGTGTTATCTACCACATAGCATAGAGCCTATCAGCAATTAAACAGTACAGGTGGGTTTTCTCAGAGTATTTTCATGTATTTCATAAAGCATTTTGAGTTATTGATTCCCTATACTTCACACCTATCCTTAGCACCAAACCAATTCCCAGGACGGAAGGTTGGTCTTCTCACCAGTGGGAATTGTCCTGACATTGGCACGGAAGCTCATGCATATCATATGGCAATGGCACGCAGAGAAAGCAACGCATTCTGGTGAGTCCTATTTTCAGGCTTCCTTTGTATTGGTCTCTCAAGGAGTTTACAACTGGTTTCCTCCTATTATATCTCCATAGCATTTAATTAGTATTGTGCAAACGATGAATTATTTTTAATTTTTAAGCAACAGAAACTACATTGGCCAAATGACAGCACCAATTCTTCTCCAATGAAGAGAGAGAAAATAGAATATTTGGATATATTGGATTAAAAAAAAGATAATATGCCATAAGGAAAATAATACTTGGATGATAATGACTACGGCAATCCTCAATAAGTAAATTTATTTAAGCTAATGGTAAAAAAAACTATTTTACATGGAATTTAACATTAGTTATTGCATTTCAATAGGTAAATCTCTTTTAAAAGCATTCTATGTAACTAAACTTTTCTTAAAATTAACTTTCATCTCAGTGTGCCGTGAGTAAATATTGGGTGAAAGTTAATTTTATATACTCTCAGATATGTCATAGGATTATAGATCTAGACCTGGAAAGGATGATGGAAGTCTTCTAGTCTAACTCATTTTACAGTTGACAAAACTGAGACTTTAGGGAGGTTCAGTGACTTGTCAAAGGTCACACAAATAGTTAGTGAGAGAAATAGGAATATAGGAATATGCATTTATAGAGTGCCTTATACATGCCAGGTACTGTGTCAAGTACTTTTTACAAATATTATTTCACTTTATCAACACTGGAAGATAGGTACTATTATTATTGCCATCTTACAGTTAAGGAAACTGAGGCAAGCAAAGGTCAATGACTTGCTCAGGGTCATGCAGCCGTTAAGTGTCTGAGACTAGATTTGAACTAGGGTCTTTCTGACTCCAGGTCCAGTACTCTATCCACTATGCCATACTCTTTCTCTTTGATTAAAAAACACAAATCCTCACGAAAAGTTTTCACTAACCTAATCTCTAGATATAGTATATATCTATATCACAAGTATACCACCAAAAAAAAAAATTCATTTCCCACAAAGAAAATATATTCTAAAAAAATGACTGGGTTCAGTGCTGGGCAAAACCTAACAGAAAAGAACATGTGACTAAAGAAACTTAGTCCTTTCTATTTTGTGTGTGTGTGTGTGAGGCAATCAGGGTTAAGTGACTTGCCCAGGGTCACACAGTTCATGAGTGTTACGTGTCTGAGGCTGGATTTGAACTCAGATTCTCCTGACTCCAGGGCCAGTGCTCTATCCACTGCGCCACCTAGCTGCCCCAACTCAGTCCTTTCTAAAGAAAGAAAAGAAAGGAAAGGAAAGGAAAAGGGGAAAGAAGAAAAGGATGTTTTTATGTGAAAATATGTAGATAGGAAGAGGTAAAGAACCTGAAGAACAAATTAAACTTTTAATAAAATGTAAAAACCAGTAAAAAGAAGAAAAAAACAGTTGTGTTTATTTCAACCTAGAATAGTGAGTCAAATATCCTGACTATGTATTTGTCAATTAAAACTCCTGCTTATTCCACCAAAGTTAGAATACTGCCAGCTGTGAAGAAAACATCTAAAATCTGTGTGACAGATGTGTTTAGCTGTGAGGGACCCCAGTGTTCTTTATACACTAGTAAATGAGAATTGGCAATGATTTTTCCATCTGAATGAGTAAAGTGAAATATTAGCAAGACCCTAACAGAGTTCAAATGCATTTCTTCTAAAGACTCTCTTTGTAGTTTCTTCTAAAGATTCTAGTCATTGATGAATACTTAGGAGACTGCTCTGAGCAAAGGTACTTACTGGCAGATATTTTCCTTGGAAACTCTCCCCCCAAAAAAAACAAAAACTAAAACTATTCAGGGAACTAAGTATATTTAGATGGACCTTTAGATGCCCTTGCAGGTTAGATTATTAACCTATCTAGGGAGATAAAGGAGATTCTAACACTCAAAACAATTCAGTGAAATTCACATTCACTTCCTGTAACTGAAAAAAAATATTCAGACACTGGGATGAACCTGTATAATCTAGTTCCTCTGATATACCAACCTACCAGTGCTCCAACTTCCCTCCAGAAAGATGGTCGATGGTTGATCTAATTTACATCATTTAGGCTGACATTAAATTTATTTACTGAAAATATTTCCTTTTTAGGATGTTTTGCAGCAATCCAAACACAAAGAACAGAAACAAATCTTTGATTCAATATATTTTAAATCTAGACCATTTCTCCTGAAGCCATTGAACTGAGGTAGTATTGAAGTCCTTTCAGGCAACAACACCAGGGGCCTCGGTTCTAGTCCTCAAAAACATTAATAGCCTAAAGGATTTGAGAAAAAGAAATGAATTTTCTCCGTTTTCCCAGGTTGCCTATAGAACTGTGGATACCCAGGGGCTAATTTTAGCCAAAATAGATCCCAAATGGAACCCTTAGGCTAGGTTGGTACAGAATCCAATTCAAGAAATTCAGGCAGACTTGAGTCAGTTCTAGAAACTCATTGAGTCAAACACCATTATCCCAGCTGTAAATGACTGTCAGTTACCATCTTTGTTGTGTGTGAATACACTTTAAAATTCCAAGAGTTTAATTTCACTAAAAACTGATGAAGATACTTTGTTCTTTATTTTATTTTTCTCTTCATTAGAATTGCAGTTTGCTATATCATCATACACACGTGTGTATGTATATTTGTATATGTGTGTGTGTGTAGACACACACATATATACACATCTCCTATTTAAGAACACAGAGACCAATATTGCAAGAGGAAATACAAAAGTGGGGTCTTATTCGGGTTCCTCTAAAGGGATCTAGAAAAATCAACAAGTTTCTGTAGAACTCCATAATGGATGTTGTAATAGAACCCTAAAATCCTTTGCCATGATATAAAACATTTAAGAAAGAATGCGTGTTCCTGTAGGAGACCGAAATATTTGGACTCTAGCCACTTACCTTACTTGATTTGTGGTCCACATTAAACACAGCAATAGCATCTTCTGTTTTTTTCCTACCAGATTTGGTTATTATATATTCAGCAAGTTTGTTGGCTAAATATGTCTTTCCAGTGCCACTTGGTCCAGATAGGATAATTCTGTGATGCTCCATCAGCAAATTAAAATACCTTTGGGTAATTGGTTTAGGGATTAGTGTATCAAAAACAAAGCTATCCAAACTGTTTTCTTCTACCCCTGAAGAAACAAAGAAACAAGAATACTTCACTGTTTTATAGTTCACCTAAGGTCAACACATGGCTTCTACCATATTAGCACTTTGCCAAGGGCAAGAATGAAGTTGCTAATATCTACTGCAAAATACTTGTCTTGGTATTTCTGCCACAAAAACTCTCTTGTCATTTTCAGTCAGTGACCATAAGGCATGGGAAACAAACAAATAAAAAAAAAACAAAAACAAAAAACAATCTCCACTGATGCACTTAATACCAGCTTCCTTTGAAAACCCACTTTGCTTTTCCCTCTATCCTCCCTCCATGATTGTAATTTCACTTCCCTACTACCCATGCTAGATCTTACAAGCTTATGTGTCAACACATAACTCCTCTCACTCTTATGACCTCCTAGAAAATGAAGTTCAGCACCAGAATGAATAGTACACACTCCAGTGCAATCCCCTTATCTTACAGATGAGGAAAATGAGGCCCAAGAAACATTACTGGACTTGCTTAAGGTCACTCAACTATTAAGCAGAAAAACTGGTATTTGAAAGTATGCTATATGACTCTGAGTCTACTATTCTTCCTACTGTACAATATTCTCTCTTTTGTCTTATCTCACTTTCCTCTTGTCCTGTCCTTAAATCTAAGTACCTATCCAAGTTTTCTAAGAATAAGATGTTTCCACCTAATTTTTGTTCACTGATTTCAGTCATGTCTGACTTTTTGTGACTCCTTCTTGGCAAAGATACTGCAACAGTTTGCCATTTCCTTCTGCAGCTCATCTTACAGATGAGGAAACTGAGGCAAACAGAGTTAAGTGACTTGCCCAGGATCACACAGCTAGTAAGGGTCTAAGGTCAGATTTGAACTCAGGAAGATGAGTCTTCCTGACTCCAGGGCTAGCACTCTATTCACTGTACCACCTAGCTACCTTTTCCACCCAAAGGAGGTGTGAGAAACTCAAACAGTGGCATCCTGCTCTAACCTAAACACTATATCTGGTTCTTTATGAATTAGAAATTAATAGGTTCGGTAATGATTTCATCTGCATTTTTAAAATTACTATTTAATTTTTTCCATTTTTCTTCTTATTGTATTCAAGGATATAAGTCTAATTAATTGGTAGGAAATATGTCTTAATTATCATATTCTCTAAAGTATTTAGTAAGCATACTGTGATTTAGTGAACATGCTATACATATTTAAGCAGAGGCAGCTAGGTGACATAGTGGATGGAATGCTGGGCCTGGAGTCAGGGAGACCCGAGTTCATATCCAACTTCAGACATTTACTAACTGGGTAACCATGGTCAAGTCATTTAACCTCTGGCTCAGTTTTCTGCTCTGTAAAATGGGGATAATAATAACATCTACCTCCCACGATTGTTGTGAGGATCAAATGAGATAATACTTACAAAAGTACTTAATAGTGCCTGGCACATGGCATGTGCTATGTAAATATTAGTTATTATTATTAAACTGATCAGAGATTCTGATGTCTAGCTCTTGATTGCTAGTATAAGGCACCACATTGCACATTATACATTTTTAAAAGCAAATGTGCAGGTCCTGGTGTCCATGAGAAAAAAAAAAGCAGCATATAATAGAAGGTATATAGACCTTTAGAAACCAAAATAAATGGCCAATACTAGAGAAGAAAATATAGCAATTTTAAATTCTAGATTGGGGTCTATATTTTGGTCTCAGTTTTCTCATCTGTAACATCTGTAAAGGAAGGTTTTAGACAAGATGATCTCTGAGGCCCCTTCCAGCAATAAATCTATGATCCAATGACTCATAGTATCTAACTTTACATCCCAGTCCTTTAAGTGAACATTGGGAGTCTCTAACCATTTCACTTTCAATTTGACCTCTGTATCCTCAATGACTTTCTTTTGATGAGATTGTAGTATGTTTAAATGTTAAAAAATTATGATTAATGCTTTTTATAAAAAAAGTTTTAAAAATAAAAATGTGAAAATTAAAGAAAATTAGGGTAAAACTGGGCATTTTTGGTACAAACACAATTGTCTCCCCCCCCTTTTTTTTTACCTTTAAGGTTCACAGTGATGATGTTATTATCTCCAACAAGATATCCACAAGGCAGCAATTCAGGCACTTCTAGACTATGGGATCTAATTAAATCCCCTATACAGTAGCTTGCGATACAGTCAGAGCTCAAACCAAGACTAGTAGATGTATCAATTCGGAACACATACTCCTAAAAATGGGTACACACAAGAACACATTCAAAACAGGGGTTTAGTGCATGTAAGATGAAAAATAGAACACAGGGCAGTCCGTAGAAAGTGATCAAGAACTGGAAGAACAGGTGACATGAGAGTAACTAAAGTCCAATAGCATTAGCCAGAAAAGGTCTTAATGAATATTTTAAATTGGGGAGCAAAGAAACAAATCAGCTCAGCCTAGAACAGCAAAGAGGAGAGGTATTTAAAATGGACACAGATATTCAAACCAATGCTTTGCTATTGTACAGATCCTACCTTGAAGAGACGTCTAATTACACCATCTAATACATCCCACTTGGTTTTTCCACTAACACCAATGGATCCTATCAAGTATGCCTGAGGCTTCTGTTCCTAAAAAAAAAAAAGACAAAATAAACCAAGATCAAATTCAGCTGCCAATCATGTTTGATTACTGTGTTGTTGCTTTTTAAATCAGGTGCATATTAATTAAGCAGCAATTAATACCTTCTTTTTTTTCCCCACACTAGGTCTCCCTATCTTATCAGCTTAAAAGTACAGTGACCTTTCTAGTGCCTGATCCCAATATTAGTAGGCATGGAAGCTATAACCTCTTCCATTTTTCCAGCCTAGGTAAGTTCATCCTTCTTTAAAAAGCCTGGTGATCTCTTCCTTCTGAGTGTGTGGTGCACCACACCATTGCTAGACTTGGTGCAGAAAACCAATTATTTCCATCCATGCTGTAGCTCAGAACTCTGAAACTCAAGCAATCCATCAGCCTCTCCAGGAACAGGGAATACAAGCACATGCCACCGTACCACGTGAGGCCACAGAGTATTAACACTTACACATTCATGTATTTTCCAATATATGTGGTATCTTGGTGATACAAATGGAAAGAGAATTGTTTAAAGGGGTTAGAAGATAAAGAAATGAAGCTGTTTAGTAGTCCTGTTATGGACTATGGATAGGAAAATCAAGAAAGTATGGGTACAGGTATATCCCATCTTAAGCAACATGTTTCTGAAACTGTATTTTTATATTACATTTTTTGGGGAAAAAATCATATCAGTCAACAAACATTTATTGAGTGCTTACTATTTCACAGGCATTATACCAGGGACTGGGGATATAAAAACAAAAGCAATAACATTCCTTGCCCTCAAGGAGAAACTTCCTTACATGACCCAAGAAAATTATTTGAAGACCCTGAATTTACAATACATATTGGTACCTCTTCATTTAGCCACTTTGTAGATTACTATATGCACACGTGTGTGGTACTTTTACATACATAAAAATAATTCTGACATGGAAATTTAGAATACAGGAAAATTTGGCATGGTAACTGAATAGTGCTTGTGATACCATGGTCACATGTATTATCCTACTGCTTTTTAATAATTAGAGCTGTCCAAAAGTGGAATGGGTGGCCTTAGGAAGAGTTAGAATTGCCTCCATCAAAGTTCTTTACAGACAGGTTGGAGGTATTTTTTTTCCTATCTTTTTCATAATGGGCTAGATGAGGTCCCTTCTAACTCCCAGATTCTGGAATTTTGCCATCTTATTCCTGAACTGACACACCCCCTAACTCAGATGCTACCAGAAGCTTTTGCTGAAAGAACTGGAAAACCACTTACTTTTCCATGTTTAAATGGAAAATGTGTTAATTTAAACTTTTAAGGTCATGTCTGAAGTTCTCTCAAAGAAGAAGAATTTTTTTTCAAAGCTATTGAAAATCGGTCCTTACAAAACACTTTATAAACAGCCTTTTTTTTTTAAACCAGAAGATGGTTTCAGCCTCATACACACCATAGACTCTGGTGTAAATACTCACTTGAGTTTATAGCTTTAGAATCTTTGGAGCATTTAGTTTGGTTATAAATTTAGATGTGTCGTGTTACTTCTTAAAGTTAAATTTCTCAATTACTTTAAAACGATTTTAAGGCACTCTGTTTTTGAAGATGAAAGGCATAAAATCTTTTAGATCATTACCAATTTAGAGCATTGAACATTCTCAAATACTCTGATTAAAAAGTTTTACCATTAATTCTTTTATAGTTGTTTAAAAAGAGTTTGGGGGGAGAATCAGAATATGGATATCTAAGAGTGCAGAGAAAGGAACTGGGAGGAGCTGGAAAGGGTCCCAGATTGAAAGTCAAAGGACCCATGTTCAAATCTTGCCTCTGCTACTTATTAAATGGGTGAAAATCATTTCATCTCTGTGGACTTTATGTTTCTTATTTATAAAATGAAGCAAGTCAAATTATATGGGCTCTAAGGTTCCTTCCAGTTATAAATCTATATTTCTATGATGCCATGGCCAGAGATTCTACAGTAGATATTGGCCTAGGAAGATAAGCGACTACCATGAATAAAAATTTGGTGGGCATATCTATCCAAAGGGGCCAATATGACATGTTGTTCAACTGAGGTATCTATCAATTGGAGAATAGCTAAACAAATTATAGGATAGAAATGGTAGTCATTGTAGATGGTAATGAATGTATTGGAAGACTATCATACTTGTAAGGAATAATGAAAAGGTCAGAGGAACTTCAGATCCTATTCTATTCTAGAATAGCTCACTAAAGGGATGATTCATGAGAACTTGGGAAGGAAGGAAGTTGTACCAGATGAAGTTAATTTCCTTTCTGACAGGTACATAAGAAGAATTCTGTAGACATGCAATCAATATCCATTTGGAGGGGTGGTCTTTGCTATAGTGCTAACACCTCTTATGTTCAGAAATTCTTTTTTGAATAACTTGGATGAAAGCAGAATAAGACTGCCTATCTCATTTGTGGATAACATGAAACTAGAAGGGAGATTAATTAGCTAGCAAAATTGGTACCAAAAAGATCTAGATAGGGTAGCAAAGTATTTCTAATTTAATAAAATAGAATGTAAAAAAGATAAATATAAAACCCTGCACTTGAGTTTTTAATAAAAATTGTCTACATAAGTGAATATATCTAAAGGGTAGATATCAAATTCAGCATAAGTTAAGAATGGGACATGACAGTCCAGATGATAATTAATGTTATCTAATAGAACCTTAACATTGGGGATGAAGGTGATACTCCTACTATCTGGGCCAGACTACATTTCCAATATCATAACCAATTTTAGGTACCATATATGGAATGGGCATAAACAGTCTGGAGGATGGCCAGATGTGGTGACAAGAAAAGTGAAAAGGATTTGAAACCAGGCCATACAAAGACCTGGAGAAGGGAAGATTTAAGGAGACCACAGCAGTTGCCTTAAAACAGCCCACCTTTCTAGCTTTAGGAAGTTGTTTGTGTGAGAGAGAATTATGGGTGTTTTGCTAGACTCCAAAGAACACCAGAGTGAGGACTTACAGGCGAATATAGTAGGAAGCAGATTTTGGCTCAGTATCTAAAAAAGAAAAATACTTATTTGTATTATCGATCACTAAGTACAATGTTCTGTCAGTGATTTTATTGTCATATATGATAGGTGACATTTTTGTACCCAAGATTTGGATTGGATATCTGAAATATCTTCCAATGCTAAGATTCAATGAATTTTTTGGTCCTAATTCCCTTCACAGCCCAGCTCAAAAGCCACCATCTCTTTGAATCGTTTCCTTATTCCATCAGATTCTCATGCCTTTCTCCCCCTCAAAAATGTTTTGTGTGTATGTGTATGTGTGTAGTTCTTTTTGCTACAATATAAGTTCTGTGAGGGTGGGAACCATTTCATTCATGTCTTTTATACTCTTGTCTCTTCCTCTATGGCCCCACTTACCATCTCTGTAATTTTCTGGACCAAAATGTCCCATTCTCCTATGTGTTGTTTCTGCCTATTTATTTCCAATTATTTAGAGAAAAAGGATAGCTTTTGCTTTTGTATTTTTATCCCTAGTGCTCAGGACAAGTTTTGTTTGACGTACAGTAAGTTCTTAACATATGACCATTCGTTCATTCATTCCTCCTGTGCTTAACAAAGTATCTGAAAAATAGTAAGCACTAAAGGAATGCTTGTTGTTTGATTGTTGAACTACAGGTAAAATGTTATCTCAAAAAATCTCACAGGCCTAGTCATTTAGACCTCTGCTTTGGAAAGGTGATAGACAAGGTGACCCACTGGTATTTTCCTAACAAGCGATTTCAGGATAGATGGATACTCATTGTCATTTTTATTTTTATTTTTTTTTTTGTATGCAGTACAGTGCTCAGAAAACCCATTTCTTTGTTTTGGAAAGCACTGCTAGCCACTGAAACAATGCTTCACTTTATAAGACTAAATTTTCTACTTATGATCCCCATAATATATCTTGACAACATACACAATCAGATATAGTCTTTAACTTCAGTATAGAATTATGAAGCCAAAAGATCTGGGCTTGGATGAAAACATGCTATATGAAGAATGTGGGAGACACATTTGTATGAGCAATTATCTCATTTGTTTTGTGATCCGTAATCACCCTACATGGTAGTGCAAAAGGCTAAGAAAAGGCTTTTGCTGGAATGTTACCATTGGAAATACGAAGAGAGAAAATATTCATAGCTCCAGGGATCTTTCTATGCCCATAAAAACACAAAAGATAGCATAAGTGGAATACCTTTGATCGACCATAGCCCTTGCTAATAGATACTATAATTTTCACGCTGCGGCCATCTTTATGGAGGGTTCCATCAGTAGCATCTTCCAGTAAAATATCTACAAAACAAGCCACCAATAAAATCGGCATTACAACAAAATGGAATCCATTGTTTTCACTTGTAGTCAATTTCCCCCCCATTACTTTACATATTTCAATAGGAATACCAGTGCTATAAAGTGCAAATAACTGTATTTGGACTGTCTTTTACATTCTAATCTACTTGGAGCTGAGAAACCAATGCATTTTCTTTCTTTCTTTTTTAATCAGCTTCTCGATTTAAAAGAACTAGCTCTTTCCTTCAAGCTAGAAAGTATAAAGTTCCAATTTTATTATGTGCTTGTCTGTTTGAAGGAACCAATCCTTCTTCCCCCCAGAGCAGACATTATGAGCATAACCACATCTGGGTAAAACCAGTCACTATGAAAACTAGGACATTTAGAACAGCAGCCTGCCTTTCCTATCCAATTGAAAACATCCACACTCAAGTTCTCATGTAATCTATGGACTTGAAAGATACTGCGATAGATAATGCAAATTATTTTCAAACATTTGGGCACATTTCCAGCTGTAATACTGCTTGAACTGTCTCTGTAATTGTTAGGCACTGTTATTTAAAATAAAACCAATGAATTTTTTTTCTTCTGTAGCAGTATATTAATAATAATTACTTCATGTACATTACATTTACTATTTTGCAACCAAGATACTATTCAACTTATTTGTCTAGGAATGGAAGAAGAAAGAATCTCTCAACTCCTTATTCTATGGATTAGAGTAATATGCTATCTAATTTTTATACTACTGGGTTTTTAAATGATCAAAGGTTCATTTTTTTTTCTTTGGTAGGACTGGAGGAGAAAGGGGTATTTGAGAATGGTTCAGACTTGTTATTTCATTATTATAAGGGGTTTAAGAAACTTCCTCTATAAGTTCAGTTGGTTACTCTTCTGTAAGTTATTGATAGACAAGCATTTATTAAGTACTTTCTGCGTGCCAAATATTGTGTTAGGTACTAAGAAAACAAACAAAACAAAATAAACAATCCCTGTCCTAAAAGAGCTTACATTCTATCAGGGGAGATGATACATATGTAAAATATATACAAAATAAATTGTTATTTGCCCAGACCACTGAGAAGTTAAATAGCTTCCCTAGCATCACACAGCCAGTATGTTTAAGAACCAGTATGTGGACCAAAATTTAGCTGACTCCAAAGTCAGCTCTCTACCCACTGCACCATGCTTCCTCTCATTTTTTTTCCATTATTTTCAGCATAATTAAAACTCTATGGGGGCAGGGACTGTTTTTTGTTTTTTCTTTGTATATCCGTAGTGCCTTACGGCCACCAAATAAACACTCTTGAATTGAAATGAGTTGTGCTAAATCCATTTAAGAATTAATTAAGTGACTTAATCCAAAATCATTCTTCTACTCACAAAAACTCAATAAAGAGATAAACTCAGTATGGAATTACCCATGCCCTATGGAAGAAAGAAACACAGTTGGCTGCTTCACAGCAAACACACAGAGTAACAGCAGAATATAAGTGCTATGACTCTAAAAGCCTAGACCCAAAACAGTGAAATGAATGAGAGATACCTGATGACAACCATATCATTTTTGTCACTTCACCTGTTTAGAAGATGGAAAGATTATAAGAAGTAGGTAAAAGATACATTAAAAACTAGAATGATATAACCCAAAAAAATCAAACTAAAGAATGTGGGGCTCGAAGAATATGGAGGCACCTTGCTTTGACACTTCAGTGGCCAAAAAGCATCTCATCTACATCTATTATTCCCTCTCTCTTCCAATGCATTCTGTGCAACTATTGTTAAGCAATATTTAATTACATTTTTCTCTTCAGAAACAGGCAGTGTCTTCAGTAAACTCTCATACCTAAACCACTTTAGGGAAATCTATTAAATCTACTAATTGGATTCTCCAAAATCCAATATATCATGGACATTCTTTAGCAGTTAGACTCACCTGTTTTGCTGACAAATGAATTGTTAAATTTTGCCTATGAGGATATCATTTCCTCCAGATGAAACATCATCCCCTTCCTCTCTAAGTCATACTCCATTCATCTTTCAACACTCTGCTTAATGAACATGATTAGATATGCACAGTGGATAGAGCTCTAGTCCTGGCATCAGGAAGACCTGAGTCCAAATCCAACAACTAATAAATCAGATACTAACTAGCTATGTGACTTAGGACAAGTCATTTAAACTCTGCCTCAGTTTCCTCACTTGTAAAATGAGGACAATATATAATATAATAATTGTATCTACCTCCCAGGGCTGATATCAGGATCAGATGAGATAATAATTGTAATATGCTTAGCACAGTACCTGGCATATAGTATGTTGTTCAGTCATTCAATTATGTCTGGCTTTTTATGGCACTGTAGAGCATAGCATGCCAATGCTGTCAATGGGATTTTCTTGGCAGAGAAACTGGAGTCGTTTCCCATTTTCTTCTCTAGTGTATTAAGGCAACAAGAGGTTAAGTGACTTGTCCAGGGTCACATAGCTAGTAAGCATCTGAGGCCTCATTTGAAGGCAGGTCTTCCTGAATCCAGGCCCAGCATTCTATCCCCTGAGCCATCTAGCTGCCTAGTCACACACTATACAATATATAAATATCGTCATCATCATCATCGTTATTATAGCCCTTAGCACAGTACCTGGCACATAGTAAGTGTTATATAAATGTTATTGTAACTTTATTATCTCTCATTATTACATTTTCTGGTCCCAGTTTGGTATCATGGTATGAGTATTATCTCTGGAGTATCAGGACCTTTCTTTAAATCCTGTCTTTGGTATTTGTCAGCTGTGTAACTCCACCATAGTCAGTTTGCCTCTTTGGGTCTCAGGTTCTTTGTCAGTAAAATGAGAGTATTGGGCTAGACAGTCTTCAATGTCATTTTTCACTTCTAAAACTATAATCTCCTCATCCTTATTTCATATAGCTATAGGTCACTGAATGACTCTGCTTTTATTATGTCATTTGATTCTAAGAGCCTTGAAGGCAAGGACAATTATTTATCCTTAATGTTTATCTTGTTGGTGTTTACAGCAGTTTTGAAATTAATATTGCTAGCTGATGGAAGCAATCAATGTCACAGAGTCTAGCCCTCAACTGATTGAAGCTGATAACTGATTATAGAAACAACTCCAGAGTGAAAAACAGCAGGTGTGACATGGGGCGTGACCAAGTAAGATGCCAACACTCACTGCATTTTTTTCTAGTCCAAGTACATGAAATATAATTTCTTTATTTCTATTTTCACATTTCATGGCTTAGAAATTCCTAAACCCACCTTTTACTCATCTACTTTCCTTCTCTCATTAATTTATTAGAAGCATTGAGTAGTACAGGGGATACAGGGCTGGGCCTGGAGTCAGGAAGACCAGAGTTCAAATCTAGCCTCAGACATTTACTAGTTGGAGACAATAATAGTACCTACCTCCTAGAGTTGTTATGAGGATCAAATGAGAAAGTATTGATAAAATGTTTAGTGCCGTATCTAGCACATAGAAGAGGTTATCATCATTATCAATTACAAATTTTATTTTTGTTATGTAAGTCTCAGTGTCCTCGACTTTGTGAATATTAAAAAGTCTAACCTTGAAAACAAGAGTAATGATATGGAAAATAGGATCAAGGTGACTTTTTACTTCATGCTAAGCTTTAGTGGTGAAGCTCATTCCATATATCAAGTACCAATGGCCATAGAGGTGAAAAAAATATATATACTTAGTTCAAAAGTAAACAGTACACATATGGAAAGTCATGTCTCTTTAAGTTTTATTCATGGAAATTGTCAATGTTATATCAGCGAATATTTGAATTATAATGTTCCAAGGAGATCTTTCTTGTTCATTTTGTCAGTGCTATGAGGGTTCCTTGATCAATCACTTCTTTTCTTTCTCATCTATTGATATTTTCCCCCATTTCTTTCCTACTCTTCTATCTCATCCTTCTGAGTTCCTGATCTTTAATATTAATTCTGCCCTGCCTTTAGTCCCTGGAGCCTGGGAGATGTTTCTTGGCTTCACTTTCTTGCCATCTCTCTCTGCTGATCTTTCCCAGATCTATAAGTCCAGCCCTAGCCTCTGGCCTGAGCTTCAGTTCCACATTAACTACTGGACGTTTTGAATTGGGTGTACCATAGGCATCTCAAGCTCACTATGCCCTATGCAGGACTCATTACTGTTCCTCCAATGCTTCACTCTTCTGAACTTCCCTATTATAATGGAGAGTACCAGCATCTTCCCAGTAAATCAGACTTGCAACCTCATCCTCAGCTCCTTAGTCTCATTCCATTGGCAAATTTTCTTATATCTATCCCTACTACATCTATCATATAAATCCCTTTCTCTCCATTCTCTCAGCCAACACCCTGGTCTAATACCTCTTTACATCTCACCTGGATTTTTTTTTTATTTTGCAATAGACCCCTAATTGGTCTTTCAGCCTCAATTCTCTCATCACTCCAATCCATCTTCCACTAAGGTGCCAAAGTGCTTTTCCTAAAATATAGTGATGACCATGTCACCTCCTTATTCAACATGCTCCAGTGAATCTCTGTATTCTCCAGGATCAAATATAAACTCCATTATTTGGCATTTGAAGCTCTTCATAACCCCACCTTTTCCTAATTCTTCTATGTCACTTCCCTCTATATATTCTGTGGTATGACTGCACTGACTACTAGATATTCTTTGCACACAATGTTTCATCTCCTATCTCTGGGCCAATGCAGCGGTTGTTCCCTGTGCCTGAAATATTCTCCTGTCTCAATCTTTGCTTTTAGAATCACCAGCTTTCTTCAAGACTCAGCCCAAATGCCTATTTCTGCACAATCCATTTCCTTATTCCTCCCAGCTTCTGGACTCTTCCTAGCTAAGGTTTCTTTCCATCTCTTCTTTATGTATCTCTTTAGGTACTTATTTCATACTGATAACTATTAATGCTGAAATATGTTTAGAGATTTGTAGAGCAAAAGTAACAATGCTGATAAAAGGTGAGACACAAAAACACCTCATTTAACATGGTAAGAAAACTAGATCAGTTAAGCAAGAGCAAAATACTGAGTTCTCAAGTGCTAACTCCTGAAATTGTCCTGTAATGGACTCATTTCTGAACGTCTAGTAGGATACCAAACCCAGACAGAAAATTCCTTTTGTCTTCCCATAGTTATTATAATTTCTACCCCCACTGCTATGTTTGTTAGTAAAAAGAGTAAACATAAAAATCCCCTTGATTCAACCTTGCTTGAATTCCTTTGCCTATTCTGCCTTCCAGAAGAGGATTTAGAAAATAATAATCTTATCTGGTTTTTTCTGTTATACAATGGCATATTCCATTTTTTAATCACTTATGTCTTTATTAATTTAACTGACAGGAGGGCTGTGTGGTATAATGAAAAAAAAAGGTCTGGATTTTGAGTCAGAAGACCTGAGTTCAAATCTTAACCCTGTTATTTACTCCCTCTGTTACCTGGAAAAGTTATTATTATTATTTTTTATGAAATTATTTTCTCTTGTCTTCAATTTCTTCATCTGTAAAAAGGAAAGGTTTGGATGACTTGACCTTCATGCTCTAAGATCCCATGATTTTGTATTGAATGTAGTCTCTCTATGCTCTTTGCTTAGAATCTAGGTTTCCTACCTCATTTCTCCCAAGCTCATTGTTTTTTAAACTGCTTTACTTACTGATTGCAACATTAATATATGTATATGTGTATATATGTATATGTGCACATATATATGAATGTGTGTGTATATTACATATTTCTTCTGTATTAGATTAGCTTCTTACACTCAAGGCACAGGAAGGTATTTTCCATAGGATTTAAGATCTATCAGTTGCTTCTTTATTAGTGAATCAGACTCACTAATTTAGGACTAGATGTTGAATGGCAGCTAAATGGAAGCATGCAGTAGGAAATATGTCAAAATTTAGACAGGGACATGCAAATTCTGGGTTTTCAGAGGCCCAGGAGATAAGTACCCATTTTAGAAAAAAAAAATTAGTAATTATCGTTGCCCTCTGACATTTCATACTGCTTCAGCTTTTGCTTTTTAATCTAATTTAAAGGAATAGAGGAAGATTCTGAGGTTCTATAGTAGAATCTAATTTTACACCTAGGCACTTATATTAATAGTTTCCAAGCGTCACCTTGTGGCCATACCTTGTAATTACAAAAAGTGCTCCTAAGGCTGTGGTGAAAGTTATAATGAAGTCGAGGGGTCATATTTTCCCACTGAGTATTTCATTGGAAAATGCTATTCCACTAGAAATTAAATAACATCTCTACTCTGGTTACATCATGAGTATCTACATAGAATAATAGATTCTGATGTGAATGAATGTCTTACTTATTGGAAATGCATCATTCAATCAACAAGCATCTATTACGGTTAGCTATGTACCATGAACAATGTGGTAACTGTGGATACAAAGAAAAACATGTGATATTGACCTTGTCCTCAAGTAGTTTACATTCTAATGTGGTGGATACACACACACACACACACATGCACACGCACACATGCATATAAATATGTACATGTATATACATATGTGTGTATAAAATATTTAAGCATCCATAAATTTTTATATATGTATATTTCTCTCCTACATTAGAATATAAACATCTATAGTGTATGTATATATACATACATACACATACATACAAACACACACACATACACACACATATATGTATATATATATACATATATTTCCCACATTAGAATGTAAACTCCTTTGTCAAATTCACTAATTTAGAACTAAATGTTGAATGAAGATAGATAATATTTAAATATCCATAAATATTATATATGTATATATAACATATACAATTAAATACGTAGAGGGCAGTCTCAATTTTATTTTAGTTTCTGAATCATGAATTCTGTAAATTAAGTGATTCTGGATTATACAAATAATGATGCACTTACTTAACAGATTATTCAATAATCTGAGTGAGTATATTGAGAAGATTCTCTTTCTGTGCATGATGAAACAGACATTATTCATGGGATCATAGAGCTAAGTGTCAGGTGATGAAATAGAAATAACACTGATCAACAACTGTGGGCTAGAAGAATAAACTCTTGAAAATACTCTGCCTTCTACTTTTCATGATGGAGAGTCAGGGCAGTCAATGAAGAGCTGGCTTCAGAGACAGGAAGCCCCAGGTTCAAGTCTTATTTCTGCCATATGCTGGCTATGCAACCTTGGGCAAGCTACTTACCTTTTAGTTCTCTAGGAAACTCTCTAAAACTATCTGTATAGAGAGCTTCCTCATTCCCTATCCTTTGAAATGTATTCCAATAAAGTATGAGGTAGGAGCCAAGAATGCCCAATGATCTCAATTATCGTAACAGACTTAGATTGAGAAGAAACCTTTAGTTAAATTTATACTTATGGAAACTGAAGCTCAGACATAAGAAGTGACTTACTCAAACTTACCTAGATAATAGTTGGCAGAGCCAGGATTTCTCCCCAGATCCCCTGACTCCAAATTTCTAACTCTTGCTACCTTGCTATGCTGATAACTTTCAGGAAACATTTTGTAGGGTTTTGTTTTGTCTTTTTTTAAGTTAACATATTCTCAGCATTACTAGCTTCCTTCAGTGAAATAACAAGCAGGCGTAGACAGACAGATACATAATCACCTGAGGTAATAGAGTCAGTGATGTTCAAGTTGTTCAATGAAAGCCCTAAAGACTGGCGAGAAGATGAGGAGGAGGTGCTGTTGGAAGACTCAGATGAAGGGCGGGCAGGCTTCCCTGTATTCCCAGTCTCTGCCTTCAAACGATCATTTTCAGCTTTCAAGATTTCAATTTCATTCTGTTGTAAAGATGGTGTGGGGATGAGGAAATCACCAAAAATAAATAGAACTGAATTAGAGAAAAGAGTTATCTCCTCTCAAATGCTAAGCAGAGTAGCCTCTACCTCACAGCTTGGGAACAACACAAGAAATGAACAAATATGAGGCCTAAACACAGAATTTCCTTCCTTAGTCTAGAAAGGAGAAAACAAGACAGAAAATCAAAATCAGAAGAATCACATTTTTTTTCCTCTCTCTGCTAAACACTAAGTATATATAAGTGTGTGTGTGTGTGTGTGTGAGAGAGAGAGAGAGAGAGAGAGAGAGAGAGAGAGAGAGAGAGAGAGGGAGAGTGTGTGTGTGTGAGAGAGAGAGAGAGAGAGAGAGAGGGATTGAGATAGCATGCCCACACTTGGTTGGGGAGGGAGAGGGTCTTACTAAAGACCTGTTAGGGTTTTTAGTTTCAGAAGCTCACTTTTCTGAGTTGTATATTTATTTAGAATAATTTAGACAAATGGCTACCAAAATAGTCCTTAGGTAATGATCACAGACAAAATAACTCCAACAATGCCCTTTTCAGCAAATTGAATAGATAATTCCACCAAAGCAATAAACAAAACCTCAGTAATATTATATTAAAATAAAGTAGGCTCCCTATAAATTTCAAAGCCCATATTAAAATCTGAAAGAGCTTTGTTCATTCAGACCCAGGTCACCAGTTCATAAAACAGTCAACAAAATCATCTGACAACTATATACTTCGAAGATGAATTTGCACAGCAAGGAGGATTTGCCCCTTCATTTAAATCCTCCATGATGCTGAATGACTAGTTTACAATTATAAAATAAAAATTTCATTTAAGAACATTTGATTCTGTCAGAATTTAACTTTTCCTTTCTTCATCACGTACAGGGAAATTCGAAAGCTTACTTCTGAAGGAGCCATTTTACTTCTACAGTTAGAAACAGTGTTGGAGGTCTTATTCATTTTTTTAAAAGATTTATTATTATTAAAAAAAAAAACTAATGCATAAAGTCACTGGAAAGCCATATTTCAAAAGTACATAAAGAAACAGACACATGATGACAGGAAGGGAAAAAAATAGGCAATCTCAGCACTGCAGAATAATAAATGTTTCTCTAAAGACACAGGACTGAACTTGAATTTAATCTCCAATTGAAATTAATTCAATTGTCTTGGTTAAAAACATATCTCACAGCCACAGGTCTGATATAAGCACTCCATTCCTGTTCTCATCCCTGGACTTACCAAATTCTATTTTGGGGGCGATGGGGAAAAAATGAGACAGTGGCAGAATTCAGAGAACATTTTTACAGTATATTTAACATGTAGAATACTCATTTTCACAGGGTGTGAAAGTTGCCTTAAGTAATTTAAATCTAGAGGATAAAAATACCAACCATCCTAAGCATATGCTTTGTTCCTCAACTTAACCAAAGCACTGACCTGCATTCGATTCATGGCTTCCCGAATCTGGTCAAGATGGTGAGCAGAACTGAGAGCTTCTAGACGAATATCTGTTAATTTTAGCTCCTTTTCTCGGAGCTCACTCTTTAGCTGCAGGATAATCTCGGCCTCTGCTTCCGTGCATTCACAGATACTAAAGAGTAAAGCACAAAAATGTAAGTAAGGGAAAAGGAAGAAGATTAAGGAAAAGAAATGTACCCTCATGTAAGCTGGTTTCCAATATAAAATGTTTGCTGATAGGTAGACGAAACAGGCAGAGACAGAAACAAAGGGAGATACAAAGACAGAGAGAATTGCATGAAAGCAACTTTACATGGTTCAAAAGAATGGAAACATTTCCAATAAAATATTGGCCAACTTTTTATCTACCCATTTTTTTATCTGAAGTTAAAATATTCATTTATGACTAAACATGAAATGACTTCACTACGTCATTAACCTATAGAAATAATTTCCATAGGGTTGATATTGTAGGGGAACAGCTTATATCTAACCATTCCTCCCTGAATCTTGTATTTGTAAAAAAAAAAATTTTCTACCCAAGTGTAAGACTACATTTGTCCCTACTGAATTTCATCTTATAAGATTCATCCAAGTGGATGAAGTCATTATTTTTTGAGATTATGGCTCTGCCATCCATTGTGTTAGCTATTCAGCTTCATGTAATTCGCAAATATGATGAACATCCCATTATTATCTTTATCCAAATCATCGATAAAAATATTTAACAATATAGGGCCAGCCACAGATCCCAGGGATGCTCCACTGAAAATCTGCCATGCTGACTTTAAATTATTAATAAAAAAAACTCTTTAAATCTGACCATCTGACCAGTTGGGAATCCCTCTGAGTGTGATATTGTCTAATCCAGAGGTATCAAACTTACAGCCAACAACTGGCCTGGCAAGTGGCTTGGTGGATCTGCAGGGAAATGTTTCTATTTGAATTTAACATCACTGATCTAATCTATATCTGTCCATCATCTCCATGTGAATAGTCGGAGAAAGTTTGTCAAAAACTTTGCCAAAAATCTAGTAAACTACAAGTACAGGAATTCCTCCATCTATTACTTTAGCAAGATTTCAAAAAATGAAATAAGGGAAAGCTCATAATGTCCCACTCTTTATAATCACTGTTTCTCATTCTAGGTATTCACCACCATCTCAATAATGATTAGTTCTAGAACTTTTCCGGAATCCAAGTCGTGCTTGCTGGCCTAAAGTTGTAGACTGTCTTGTCTTCGCTCTTTTGAATATGGGAACATTTGCTCTCCAATCCTTTGGTGCCCATCCCATTTCCCATAACCATTCAGATATCCTTGAGAGAAGCACAGCAATCCCCTCTGCCAGCTCTGCCAGAGTCCCCAAGGCTATAGTTCCTTTGGGCTAGAAGATTAAATTCATTCATTAAGGGCAGCGAGCTATCTTGCTTATCTTGGATATAAAATTCCTGTTACTGATTTCTGTTATGCCATTGTCATTTCAAAGGTCATTCTCATTGTCAAAGAAAACAGAAATACGAGAAGAATTGAATAACTCTGCCTCTGTTGCCAAGCAGACTTCCTATCCATTCTTTGATCATCTCTTTTCTCTAAATAAAGCAATGTAGTTTAATGTTATTGTTGTTGTCTTTAGGTTCCCTAACTAGGACTAGTTCATTCTGAGCTTTAGTATTTCTGACATTTTTTCCCCCCAGTAGGAACAAGCCGTACTCTTTTATTTACTTCTCATACCTGTCCTTGCTTTCATCTTCTCTAAATTTCTTTTTAAAATCTAAGTAGGTTGGCAAGTTCCCTACGTTCATCTCTCCAGATAAATCCTGTTTTCCCTGTTTGAATTCTTTCCTTTTGTGCCTTCAGAACTGGATTCTTCAGCCTCTCCCATCCTTTTGAGGCCAGTTATCTCTGAAGTACTTTAGTTCATGAGATCCTACTTGTATGTCCTCTAAACCTTTTGAAATCTGCTTTCCCCAAATCTAGGAAGCATCACAAAACCACGCCCAGATCTCCTCTTCATTTCTACCAGAGGAGTGGTCACTTCCTCCCACCCAGGCTTCTTATCTTTTCCATCACAGCAAACAGCCCCTCTGTATTAGTGAGAATTACTTCCAGAATATAATTTCCCTTTGTTGGTTACTCTACCTTTTGAATAATTAAATCATAACTAAAAAAAAGTTAAGAGGTTATTAGCCACTTTACTTTTGTCAGAGACCCCTACCTAGCAATTATCTGGATTATTGAAGCTCCTCCCCCACCTCACTCTAACATTGTCCTTGTGACAGGCTTGTGGTGTATTTCAAATATTCTTCATCTGTTTCTTCTTTCTACCCAAGTAGTATGGTGTATACACCATTTAAAAAAAAAAGATTCCACTGATCTTCACCCACATGCTCTCCCACTTCTGATTCCTGGATTTTCTCATGTGGGTATACCTTCTTAAAACACAAGGCCATACCAACCTCCACATCCCATTTATCTGTCCTGCTACTTTTGGATAAGGTATACCCATCTAGATCCATGATTTTGTCATATGTTTTATCCCTCAGGTGATAGTTTTATCCACAAGGTAAAATTTTCTTTGTTAGGACCTTTGCTTTCTTTTATTTGTTGCCTAAATTCAGGGCATTTGGATATTGACATTTGAGGCCATAGGTTTTACTACTGGCTCCTTTCTTATATTTTTGTTTCCTGTGTACTTCTGGTTATATCAACTGGTATTCTCTATAGCTACTCTTCACGGTTTCTAACTTCGGAGATACATGTAGGCAGTCCTTTCTTGCTCTACCCTTTTTCATTTAAAACCTTTTTAGTTTAAAGGATCTATGATCCTATGATCCTATGATGTAGTTGAAGAGACAGGAGGTAAATTAGCAGTACAAAGGCAAGAAAACAGAGATTATCCAAAAGGATCGAGTGGTTAATAGCATCAAAAACAGTAGAGAGGTTAGATCTGAGCATTTTTCAGAGCAATACATGCTTTGTCTTCCTAGTTGGACCAGATAATTATAGGATGCTAATAGGGCTAAAATCGGAAGTTCCAGCACACCTAGGAAATTTAGCTTTGCATCGTCTCCCTATTTCCAATCTGTTGTCGCAACAAATTGTTATTTTTGGTTGCACAGGGCAAGAGACTGTGACTAGATCAGGGCAAATTCATTACCACTACTAGAAAAGTAAGTGAAAACACTAAATCCTATAGTTCTTCCTGTCCATATCACTTGTCCTAACACTTAATCACATGCTGTCTTATACATCTCCCCAATGGTATTGTAAACTCATTCTATATTGGCACTGCCTCTTATGTACCTTTATTTTTTTTTAATGCCTTATAGCATCGAGCTCAGTCCTGAGCACATAGTAGTCACTCCATCAATGTTTGTTGTGAAAGTGATTGACTACTGATCATGTTTGTCACTTGTGGAGAGGAAGGAATGCATTCTTATTCTCACTTTGTGACTGGCAACCTACCATTCCACATTTTGTTTTGCATTTTAGCGTCAGGAAAGGTTTAGTGAATATCAAATCATTACAAATTTTTTTTCCTACTAAATTAAACTTTAAAAAAAAAGGAGAAAAAGGAATTGTCTGTGCCCATGGACCTAATTTTAAAAATGTCCTCAAAGTTAGAAGAGACCTTGAAGTCCAGTTAGTTCGCACTTGTGCTTGAAAATAATCCCCCCTACGTGGAGACAAGTGGTCACCCAGCCTTTATCTGCAAAGACCTAAAGAGATGATCAACAGATAATAGTTACTTAGATAGTTTAATGACCAGTGATTTTTTTGTTATGAGCACTGCTCCCTCCTACACAGAAAGTGACCCTCTTACGACTTCATAGAGAATCACCCTAGGTATTTTAAAGGTCTTGCAATATTGTGCCAATGACATTTAGCACACAGTGGTCAAGCTTCAAAACACTGATAATTTAGTCTATATGAAAGCTGTCCATCACCAGGCTCATTCTTAAAGCCTTTCCATCTTTGTAGGAGCTAAGAGTTTGTTTTCCATTGGCATTGCCTTCCAGATCTGTGAGTTATATTAGCACTTAGAGGATGTATCAGGTAGGACTTAGAAAAGAATGACAATTCAGTCAAATTATTTAATTATATTACAGAACTGGGAAAACATAGGCCAGTTTTACAGTTTTATTTGTTAAGGAAAGGGAAAAGTGGGCCTGGAATTTCATCTGCTAGGCAACTACCATTGTGGAAAGTGTCTCTATCAATACATATTGGCTTCTCATCTCTAACTTTTTTTTTTCAAAGGGGTTAGCAGAGGACTACATTGGCAATTTCATTGTTTTAAGAGTTCCTAGTAAGGAACTTGCTCTTCAAATGCAGGTTAATACCTGCCCAGCAACTGTAAGTCAGAGAGTTGACAGTGGCAATGAAAAATTAAGCAATTTGACCAAGATCACATGGCCAGTATGTGTCAGGGACAGTATGTATATGAACATAATAATGTCATTCCTTTTAGAACTACAAGGGAACTTAGAGGCCATCAAGCCATAACTCCCTCATTTTACATAGGAGGAAACCGAGGCACAGAGAGGTTAGGTGACTTTTCCAAGGTCATAGAACTAATATATAGCTGTGTTAAGATTTGATTCTAGATCTTCCTAACTCTCAGGCCACTTCTATACCATGTCACACTTTCTCCAATTCATTTATATGATTAATTTGTAATAATCAAAACTCCCATTTCCATAACAATTCACCATTCATGAATACTTTCCCCTTAGAAATCCTGTAAAGTAAGTAGGGCAAGGATAATTAACACTAACTGGGACATTGAGAAGTTGGTATACATCCAGAAGAAGGCAAACAGGATGGTAAGGCACTTGACAACATACCCTATGAGGATCACTTGAAAGAATTGGGGATGTTTAACTTGGAGAAGAGATGAGCTTAGTGGAGAAGCAATCACTGTTTTCAAATGCTTGTAGAAATGTCATGTGGATAGAGAATTTGTTTTTGCTTGGCCTCTGAGACCAGAATTTGAACTAATGAACGTCAGTTAGAGCCAAATTTTCACTCAATAGCAGAAAAATGTTCAATCAGCACAAGCTGAAAATGGAATGAGTTGCCTTGGGAAGGTAATGAGTTCCCAAACATTGAAAATCTTTAAGCAGGGTGTGGATGGCCATTTGTCAGCAACGTCATAGAGGGGATTCATTTTCCAGGTAGATAGACTAGTTCAATCAATAAATCGATAAGCAGTTAATAAGTTCCAACTACGTACCAGTCATTGTACTAGGCAGCGGAGCTACAATGAAAAAAAAAAACAATGAAGCCATCCATTCGCTCAAGAAATTCATATTCTAGTGGGGAAAATGTTAGATTTTATCAGTTGTTCTTTTCAGTGTCTTCCAACTCTGATATTATTTTCCACATTTTAAAAATGAGAAAATAGGCTCAGAGCTTTCAGACTTTTTTGGGGGGGGGGGGGCGTTATTTAACTAGTAAGTGATAGAGCCAGGATTCAAAGACAGGTCTTCTGACATGAGGTTTATTGCAATTTTTACTAGCATTTTGCCTTCTTGAGCTGTACTAAAAGACTCAGAATATTTTTTTTTTGTTTCTGCAAAGCATGCAAATGATTCCTAGGAAGAAAAAAAAAAAAACAGAACATTTTCCAGGTTTGCTTTTGGCTATGTACAGAGTGTCATGCACCACACGCCTTTTACCGAGATCTGTGCTTGTAGATCACATGGCCATTTTGTCGTTTCTTTGGTGCCCACACAAGAGATGACCTGCATCCATGCACAATTAGACAGACACAGACAAATGCAAATAGAAAGAAGCAAAGATAATGATTTAGAAGGGAGAAATGGAGAGTGATGCTGGAAAACAGTCAATTTCCATCATATGAAAGAAAGGAAAGTAGGTGTGGCCATATATGAGAAGAGAACGTGAAAATAAAAATATGTACAAAAAGGGGATGCTATAATGCTAAAATTTAAGCTGCTTCATGTATGAAAAAATATTCAAATATTTAAAATGTGGAATTATGAAGAAATAAAAAACAGAAATAGAAGAAAGCTCAGCCTGAGGTCCAGTACCTCATTTTGCTGATTGTTTTTTTTTTTTTCCAAATCAATCAGCAGCCTGTCTAAAACGTGACTTACGCAGATGCTGATTGTGAAGGCTTCATGGATACTGACCCACAGTCACCAGAGCTATGGGGCAGCTTCGGTGATGATGGAAGGGATGAATCAGTAAGTTCTTCGATGTCAGAATGTGAGGAAGGGGGCTTGGTGGACTTTTTCTTCCCAAAGGCTTGTTTGAATGAACTCCTCAGCTGAAAGAAAGAGAGAAATTAGCCTTCTCCTTTCCTGTGCATAATGAGAAAGTTTGTTTTATTTTGAGAAGTTAGTTTGCAGATGCCATCCTAGCCACTGCCTGGGGTCAGTATTTAGAAGCATAGAATTAACATATGCAACACAGTATCTCTAATAAAATGATACTGTGTTTTGCCTTTAAAAAAATATTAATCTAGCACAGCGCAGACATTGAGGATTTTCAGACAAGGGCAGAATGAGCAGTATGGCTGTCAGAGCACCCATTTAAAACCAAGTACCTTTCACCAATGCCCATGCCCGTGGCTTCTCCCTTCAAAGCACTTGGTTTTAAATAATTACCTCATCTCTACAATAACATCAGCCGTTGCTGATATTGTCGACTTAAAAGGCAAAATAAAATCAAATTCACCTTGCTCTCTATTAAGTGCCATTTTCTATTCAAATTTTAAATTCCCAAACTATTCAAAAAGAGAATTGATGTCCCCTACAGTTTTATTCAGAAATGGCTACATTACCTTTCTTTATAGACCGAGATTAAAATGAAAAGACACAAAGAAAAGACATACAAGATAATCTGTTTTTAAAAGGGTATAAAAGCCTACTGCCAAAATGAATAGCAATCATGCCAAGATAGGGGGTTTTTATAGATGCATGCCAAATTGTCCATGGTTTATATTCACCTCACTTCCTCTAGAGTTCACCTTGCAGAAACATGAAAGAGTGTGGAATTACAAATCAAGGGAATGAAGGCTGATCAGTATTTAAAAATATTACCTGCATAAACATTTTTTTAAAACAAAAAAGATACGTCTTTCATTATTTAATAGAAAACACTCCAATAAGATCCTGTGATATGTATGTGTCTGGTTTCATCAAAAGAGCTTTGCTTATGTAACCACTCTGTCCACCAGTGTTTTGTTTCTTTTTCAAGAGAACCTCTCAGTTTGTTGCTTCTAAGTATTATGTACTAGAACCATTCCTGCTAAGTAGAATTACATTGAATGTATTACTATTCAGCCCCCAGGTAGCCATGTTCTTTTCTTTTATGTTTTTTTTTTCCTTTTCCTTTGCTTCATATGGAAGGAAGAAAGAAAGAAGAAAAGTGGCTACTCCTATCACCTTTGCCTGCAGAATATGATCAGACTGTCTCAGAAGATAAGGGGACAGATCAACTTTGCATGGAATGGGAGAGAGTTGGTCATTCTACACCTTGGCATTCCCTGACTCCAGCTCCATAGAATGTAAGTTCCTTGAGAGAAGGGATTGTTCCTTTCTTTTTCTCTCCTCTCTTCTCCTCCCCTCTCCTCCCCTCCTCTTCTTATGTAAACACTATAGTGCCTGGCACATATCAGGCATCAAATATTTGTTGATTGGTTATTAGTGTAGTTAAAGAGACCTCATTTTATTTCAACTAAACCACCGGTGGGGAATCTGTGGCCTCAAGACCACATGTGGCCCTCTAGGTCCTCAAGTGTGGCCCTTTGACTGAATCCGAACATCACAGAACAAATTCCTTTGATTTGTTCTGTGAAACTTAGACTCAGTCAAAAGCCTGCACCCAAGGACCTAGAGGGTCACATGTGGCCTTGAGGCCACAGGTTCCCTACCCCTGAACTAGACCATTCTGGTACATGGCCATTGAATTAGTAACCAAAGCAGTTTGACTCTTGGATTTGCAGTTGCATTCCTACACATCAAGTTCTACTAATGTTGGAAACATGGCCCAATATACAAACTGCGAGGCAGATTGATGACAAGAACTTACCCAGTTTTTCTTTTTCTTTTTCTTAGAGTCGGCATCATTACCACTGCCAATGCTGGAATGACTCGTAGCACTGTTGATACTGGAGACGCTTTCTGAGGAATGCTGCCTTCTAATACGGAGATCTGGAATAAAGATGAAAGGGAGAGGGAGAAACAGTGAAACACAGAGTAACAGGGAGCGGTGGAAGGGAGAAAGCAGAGAAGCAAGGGAGGAAGGATGGGGAAAGAAGGGTGAGCGAGGCATCTGTGAATATGCATTGCCTTTTAGTCACTATAAAAATTTCTTCTTGCTTTTATGTAAAAGTTAACCTTGCTTTATACATTTTCTTTTAGTTTAGTTTGTTTTTCCTAATCAATTACAGAGACTAGAGACTATACCTGGGATTTGAAGGGTATGTAGAATCACCAGATGAGAAAAGTCCCTCTACCAAAGCAGGTCACCCCCTTTTCTGCAATATGGAGTCTCAGAGAGTTGCCTAACACACTCCCCAGTGTCATGGAGGGAGTTTGTATCAAAGACAGGCCTTGACCTCATCTGTGTGGCTTTCATGCCAGCTCTCTATCTACCGGGCTTCTGCTCATTCAATTACAGCATTATTTAAGTATTTGGATGACCCTGATGTCCATGTATACCAGAGGGCCAAATAAAGGCATAAGCAAAAATAGATAGAACCCTTTACCATTCTATATTAGGAATGTGCTATATAAATATTATTTGTGAAAAGGTGTTGATTGAATTATCTCCAAAAATCAACTACATGGAGGCTCTGCCATCTTTCCCTTTAGAGATTTGTACCTCTTATGAGCTGCTTCTTATAAGAATGCCCATGGGGGTTTCTGAGCAACCAAACTAGCAACTTGGACCCTCAGGATTACACCTAGAACCACGAGAGTAGCAGTAGTTTTCCCTTTGGGAACCCAACCCATCAGTGTGAGTGTTATATGGGGGGGGGGGAACACTTTTAGAGTATTCATTATAATAGCTCATATGTATGTAATGTGTCAAGGTACAAAGTATGTTGAATATCTTTTCTCATTTAATCCTAACAGCATAGAAATTAGAGCAAAAGGGGATCCAAATATCTAGTCTAGTCCATTACTTCTATGGACAAAGAAACTGAGGTACAGAGAAAGTAAATGATAATCCCAATATCATGGAGGTTGCGAGGAGCAGAATTAGAATTTGAACTCAAGACTTTTGACACTAAATCCAGTGCTCCTTTAAATCATACCCCACCATTTCTGATGATGAGTATGTGAGACAGCCAGTATTATTTTTCTCATCCTCACTTGACAAATGAAACAAGGGGTCGCAGTTCTTAATCACGTTATTATTCTGGCTGGACTTAGGATCTTACTGGTAAATGGAAATCCCAAGAAAGAACTGTCATCAATCAGTGCAGATCAGTGATGCCTCTTTAAGGTTTATATAGTCTCAGAAGCTGGCTAGAGAACTGAAGATTTAAATGACAAGGCTAGTATCACACAACTAGAATGTATCAGAGGTCTGATTTGAACCCAATTACTTCTGCATTTAAGGCCAGCTCTCTGTCTACTCAATCTAACATACATCATAATCATCATCAGTATCATCAACATCTTTATTTTTATTACTATTATTGTTATTTCTTATTCTCATCTTATATCCAGTGGACGTCAGCTAGAAACAGTCTTGGAACAAATTGTTTTCCTAGTGCTCTTTGATGGCTAATGATAATAGGTACAGTCAGTCAGTCATCAAGTGTTGATTAAAGGCTAGCTATGTTCTAGACCTTGGTACCTGATCTTTGATTTTACTTTTTGTGTATAGGAAGAGTCTCAGGTGAAGAAACTTGGTACGTATGGTACTTATGCTGAAACTTATAGTCCTTTGGAGTTGTCTAGAGTATTAAAGATAAGCAGTGTTTTTATTTTTATTTATTAATGTTATAACAGGACACACTGAAAAGAAACTACATATACTCCATAAAGTGAAAATGATCATCTGTAAGTCCCATGTTAGAGATTTATCTGACACTTAATCCTTGACATTTAAAATGGAAAGATATGTAGTCTGCAAGTCAAACATGGTCACTTAAAGCCAATTTCAATATAAATTTATGAGGCTGTGTCTACATGACCACTGAAATAACCTGTTGGAAAGCAAACAATTGACTCGACCTATTGGGTTGTTGATTAGTACAACAGGCACTTAAAATCAGTATGGTATACATATTTTTTTTATTATTCATTAAATGGCCTGTTAATCCTTATAATGCTGAGACATGACCAAAACACCTGAAGAAATTAAAGGTGCCACTGAACACAAGTAGAACTATGGTTTGGTCTAAATCCTAGCAATCCACCCTTCAGTTACTGGAAATGAATGACCTTCTTCCTTTCCCCCCTCATTCTAGGTATCCTTCCCACCATTAATGGCACTGGACAGTTTCTATTATCTGGATCTGATGGATATATTGAATTACTTGTTGCCCAAGAATAAGGAAATCCTTCCCTGAGTTTTATTTCAATGACTTTTGTTGTGTTAGGGAGAGGATTAAGATTTCCTAAATCCCTTCTGGACCCTATTTAAAACTTCAAGATTTAGAACACAAGCTGCTTTGTTATAACACTAAGAAAAGTGTTTATGATACAACAATTTCCCATAAAGCATATAAATTTTCCTTGAAAAAAGTTACTAAATATTGGACATCAACACCATAGGACTAATTTACTGTGTAGTTTAAAGGTGCACCTCACTTTGTATATTGGATGCATCCTAGGCAGGATGAATGTAAGGAGGAATACGTATAATTGAATTCTATTTTAAGGGTACTTGAGCCAGCTATTTGATGAAGATGTAAAGTAAATTATTTAGTGAGAAAGATGTCTGCTTTTTCATTTTAAGCATGTCTATGTAGATGCTCATTTGCCATATTAGGCCAGTTTAAAGTGTTGCACATTGTAATAAAAAACAGTAAATGTTCAGTTGTTAAGTGGGAGAAATGCCACCTTCATCCCTAAATGGTAATTTTGCATTTTATGAAGATAGAAATCTTAGCTTATGTTAAAAACCACTAGGGTGATGATATCTGCATGAACTTAAGAACAAATTAATGATATCACAATGATTCTTTGGGAATCATAAGGTAGAAAAATCTGTCACAATACCCACAAATGCCATCTTTTAAATAAAAAAAGTTAATTGGATTGTTTGATATGTTTTTTTAAAGGTCACCTCTGAATATTATAGCATAAGACTGGCCTTGCATTGAACAGTTAAAATGAATATCCAATTTTTAAAATCCAGGAACACCATTTGTAGGAAACATACCTTTTTGGGGATTATCAGGGCCATTCAGTGCTCCCTGAATGGCAGCCTGTGCAGCAGAATTCTGAGCTTTCAACATTTCTATGGTTTCCCTTAGTTCAATAAGTTCAGACTCCTATAGACCAAAGAAAGGACAATCATAAACATTTAGACATTTGAGAGATTCAATAAGAATTAGATGTTAATCATCCACTATGTGTCAGGCACTCTAAGTGCTGTCAAGATATGAAGAAAAAATTAAAACTAGTATCTGCCCTCAAAGGCCTTATGTGTGTGTGTATGTGTGTATGTGTGTGTGTATGTGTTTTCATAAAGCTCTATCAAATGGATTTACTTTTTGCTAATCTTTAAGAATATTATAATATGCCTTACGGATCTTATATGGTACCCAATAACTCAAACATAAAATAAGATAGGGACATTTCATGAATTTGTTTTCTAGATGAAGGAAATGAGATGTAAAGATTAAGAATTTTGTTCAAGGACTATTATAATTTGTTGTTTTGGGCAATTTTCACTAATGATCAATTCACTTTGGCAATTGGGATGTCTAAAACTGGTGGAACAAATAAGCTGATCTTTTTTTTGTCTATTTTATTTTCAACTGTTGCCAACCATAGTCATTTAGCTATTTAGAGGAGAAATAGACATTAATTATCCCAGTTCCCAATCAGAATACCTAACCTATAAGTCAAGAATATATTAATGAGAATATCTGTTTCTTCTAAATTAAAGTAAATCACTCAATGAAATAAGAAGTATTCTAGAAACAATGCAATGCCAGAAACTTTGGAAAATGCAACACATTTATCCAATTAACTCTATTATGAGCATGAATACTATGATACATTCCATTGGAGAAAATCACATATGTCTGATATTTTAATAAATCAGTCATTTCAGAGGCAGTGAATGTTCATCAAGAAGTTAGAACTATGTATTACAGCACAGGACAATAAAGAGTATTACATTATTGCAACTAGTTTGATCTAATGCTGTTAGCAGAGGTCCTGTCACCTTCTATGAGATGACATAGCCTTTTTCACTGGTGCAAACTTTTAAAAGTTGGGTATATCTTGATTCCTGCAAGTCAGAATTTCTAGCAGTTGATGAAACTTAATTTTGGACTATGTACCTGGAGACTCATATTTACCTGCATTTTATATATGCTCATTCCTGATGTAAAAGCAAGAAGCTTTTATTCAGTCATTTCCAGTCACGCCTGAGTCTATGTGACCCAATTTTGAGTTTTCTTGGCAAAGATACTGAAGTATGATTTGCCATTTTCTTCTCTAGCTCATATTACAGATGAGGGAACTGAGGCAAACAGGGTTAAATAACTTTCCCAGGGTCACACTAGTATCTGAGGCTGGATTTGAACTCATGAAAATGAGTCTTCCTCACTCCAAGTCCAGTGCTCTATCCACTGCGCCACCTAGCTACCCCAAAGCAAAAAGACTATTTGGAAATTGTTCAGAGACTTTTAATGAAATATGAAGACCTAGAACCTCTCCCTTTTATAGCTTGCCAATGGTGCAGAAACCCAAAAATGTCTTTTTGATAAATGAAACACCAACACCTTGATTTCCAGGTTTGAAATGTCTGAAATAACCATACTTCAACAATTAAAATATAAAAAATATATATGTATATGAACAGGCAGTTCTCAAAGGAAGAAATCCAAGCTCTAAAATTATTTTTAAATGTTCTAAGTCACAAATAATTAGAAAAACATGTAAATTAAAGTTAACTTCAACATTTTACCTCTTATCTATCAGACTGGCAAAGATGACTAAAGAGGAAACTGCCAAAATGGAAGGGCTGTGGGAAAAGAGGTATACTAGCACACTGTTGGTGGCGATGCAAATTGTTGCAGCCATTCTGGAAAACAATTCGGAGCTATGCATAGAAAGTTACCAAACTGTGCCTGCGCAACCTCTGACCCAACTGTATCATTACTAAGCCTATTGCTCAAAAAAATTCAAAGAAAGGGGAAAAGGATCTATATATATACAAAAATACTTATAGTAGTTCTTTTCACAATAGCCAAAAGTTGGTATATGAGGGGCTGTCTTCCTCTTATAAAATGGACCCCAAAATCAAATGTGACTAGAATTATTGTACTATAAGAAATGCTAAATACAGAATTTCAGAGGAAAGTAGGCAGAATTTTATGAACTGAGAGCAAAGGAAGCAGAACTAGTAAAACAAATTGTATAATAATACTTTAGGGGGAAAAACACAACTTTGAAAGTCTTTAGCACTCATCAATAAACCTCAAGTTTAAAAACAAATGAAGATCAAACAGACCACTCATCTCCTTACAGAGGGGTGATGAACTTAAAATCAAGACAGAAACAAACATTTTTATTTGACTCATGTGGGAATTTGTTTTGTTGGGTTATTGTAGATATGAATGATTTTGTTTTTTACTTTACTCACTGGGGATGTGTTAGTGAGAGGGACAGATCAATGAAGAAAATATGTTACTTGAAAAATGTTTTAAAAAGTGAACTATAGATGCTCATCTGTTATTCCATTTGTTTTTGTTTATCAATTAATTAATCAATCAAGGCATGCTTTGAGTGTCTATGTTGGGCTAAGCAGTTGGAAATGCCCATTAGATACTGTAGATAGGACCAGAGTTTAGGAAAGAGACCAAGATAGGATAAATGAAGCAAGAAGCCATCTGCAGAGTTATGATAATTAAATCCACAGGAGTTGATAAGGTCGCCAAATGAGACAGAGAGCAAAGAGACCCGGACGGAGGTTTGGGGGACACTCATTGTTGGGGGTGTTTCTATAGATGAATCCAGGAAGGGTATCAGAGATGGAGCAGTCAGGTAGGAGGAAAATCAAGAGGTGAGTGTTACAACTTATCTTTCTCTCTCTCTCTCTCTCTCTCACACACACACACACACATACACACACACACACACACGCGATGCCTAAAAAAAAATCAACTTCCCAGATTATGTGGCAAGGAAGAGTGATTTGGATGATGACAGAGTGTCAGAGAAGCAAAAAAGAACAATGTTACAATTTAACCCAATCAAAAAAATGTTAATAGCATTTCATTTTGAGGAAAGTATTAAAGAATAATTTGTACAATTGTTATAAGTTAACTTTCTGTTAAAAAAAAATTCCCAGGACTTAAAATGTTAATTTCAAAGGTTAACACAGGAATTTTAAACATCACATAATTCAACTTTACTTTATAACATTCAGACTGGAATGCAGATTAAATTTTAATTAAAATGTGGTTTATCTTCTTGAGTTAAAAATGTCTTATGCTTTATTTAATGAAGATTAGAACTACTAAAGGAATTTAGATTCAGCAATAAAGGAGGAAAGAGTGAGATCTCTTTTAAATTTCCCCAAAATAAGCTGTTAGGAGCTGGTTTGTTTTAGTATCACAGTATTAATATTTTGTAGACATGGGAGCAACTATTGGAATAAATTAGTCTCTGTGAAGGTTAATGATTATATTGTTGAGATAAGCAACTTTTCCTTTTGAGAGTCGGGAGGCTGGGGATAGGGCCTGGGCCTGTGATTTCATTGGTGTAGGGAACTATTGGTGCCATTTTAGATCAACAACCGATCTGCAATTTAGAGTTCCAGAGTTTCCTGATTTGTTGTTGCTTGTTCCTCCTTCTTGAACAGGACCAGTGAGTGGTTCAGTGACTTGCCCAGGGTCACACAGTCAGTATGTTTCAGAGGCAGGATTTGAACCCAGGTCTTCCTGACTCTAAGCCTAGTATACTGCTGGCCTTCTTCCACTGCCACATTAGAAAGAGTTGTTTAATGGGGGGAAATGTCATGGGTTTTTGATGATCAAGTCTCGTATTACCTTATGGAATACAAAGGAGAGTGCATTTGCAAATCTACGTTGTGTTAGAATTACTATTGTAGTAGCTGGTCATAGAATCCTCTAATGGCTCAATCCATGAGCAACATTAAGTGGCAGCTAGAACCCAGACACTGTGCTAGGCCCTGGGGATGCAGAGACAATAATGAAGCAATCTGTGTCTTTATGAAACTCGAATTCTTTCAGAGGAGACAGGTATATTGTGCATATACAAGTATAAGTGTATTATGTATAAGAATATACACAATGAAGTACAAAATTGTAAATTAATTTGGTGGTTGATGTGGCTGTAGTGCAGCTAACACGAATCCAGAAGTCAGTCTTCAATGTGAACTTTGCAAGAAGCTAGAAATCAAGCTAGTTGGCTCAGTGGATACAGTTCTGGGACTGGAGTCAAGAAGAACTGAGTTCAAATCCAGCCTCAGACACTTACTAGTTGCGTGTCCCTGGGCAAGTCATTGAACCTCTGTTTTCCTCAGTTTCTTCATCTCTAAAATGAGTTGGTTGAAGGAAATGTCAAACCACTCCAGTATCTTTACCAAGAAAACCCCAAGCAGGATCACAAAGAATCAGACACGACCGAGTGACAAGGAATCAATCTTCTCGTACATGTAGTTAATCCCTCTAATGTAGAGAGACTTGCCTGGAGTGTTCTCCCTTCTCATCTCTGCCTACTGCCTTCCCTGGATTCCTTTAAATTATGACTGCTCATCTTTTACAGGAAGTCTTTCTCAATCTCTCAATTCTAATGCCTTCTCTCTTTTAATTATTTCCTATTTATCCTTTATGCAGCTTGTGTATATATTTGTTTTCTGTCTCCCCCATTAGATTATGAACTCCCTGAGGGCAGGGTCTTCTTTTTGTTTCTTTTTGTATCCCTAACACTTAACACAATGCCTGGCACATAATAGGCCCTTAATAAATATTTATTGACTGAGAATCAAATGAAATTCTATTTATAAAGTGTTTAGCACAGTTCCTGGATGATAGTATTTGTTTCCTTCCTTCTCACCAAACATAGACTAGAAGCAACGAGAATATAAGCCTATCTCCTTCTGGAGCTCTCTGGGGTCAAAGAACATGAATTTAAAGCCTGACTCTGATACTGTGCAATCTTGGCAAGTTGTTTCAACCTCTTAAGACCTCAATTTTCTTAATTTTTTTTTAAAAAAAGGTCATATTTAATGACCGGGGAGATCTCTTCCAATTCTAAAACTACATATATCATCATACTAATAAGATTCTAT